CAATATGTTTCTCCCTAAAAAATATATTTGCATAGTATGGCAGGCAACATCCAAAAAATTATAAAGAAGAAAAAATGGGTTGATGGATGTATGGAAATACATGCATACACACACTTTACACCCCTTTATCAGCAAACCTAATTTCTTACCGCAGCAGCTGCAGGACACCAACCAGAAACAAGCAGCTCTTTGAATGAGCTGTGACAAGGTGTTGTTCTTTTCCCCCCCTCCCTCTGTCTTCTGTCTTCCGGGAACACTAATAGGCTCCATGCAGAGTGGTGTGACCAATTGAATCATCCTTGCCCCGGAGCTGGAAGCTGCAGATCGGAGAAATAGAGAACGCTGCGCTGAGTCTGGCTCCCATAACGACAAACTTCTCTGGAGTACCACTTGTTGCTTAAGACTGCTTTGGGATTTTAAACTTTGTCCTCCAAGGAACTCATAGCATTGTCTATCTTTGCCTCAGCCTCTTTTTCTGCTTGGTAGACCCAAGACCAAGTCATAGGTGAAAAGGTCAGAGGCCCCTGTTTTGCCTTAACTGCAGCTGTAGGTGAGTACGAACTCCAGCATGTGATGCTGCGAAGAGCTGAGGCACTAATACCAGGACAATGAGTGAGTGATCAGCTGTGATCTGATCAGTCCTGCAGGATCTGTTAAGGAGGCTAAGACATTTGAAAACAGGATTTGCCAGATTACAGTGGTTATATGTACATTATAGGATTTCAAAATTCCAACAATTGAGTAAAGAAAACATTTCCAAATTTTTTATCAGGTAAAACAATATCCACAATCCTGAGGTGGTAAACTGACTGACACAAACAAGCATGGACACAAGGGCATCTGAAAGTCAAGACAGCGTCCTTTTTATCACTACATTGATATAGACGATTACACATCTTAGGTTTTGTGTTTCAGACATGTTTGCTGTAGGATAAAGTTGGAATAGAGGTGAACAGCTGTAGACTGAATGTTACATAAACCCCTCTGCACCCCTCCAACCTGGACACATGTCAGGCAATGCTGTCATTACTAGGAGATAGTTGCAGTTAAGTCCACATATTCCAATAGCCTTCGGAACATTAAGCTCCTACAAGCAGTTACACAAAGTGTTGTTTGTTTGGATCATCATATATCAACTCATAAGGAAGGAAAACTACATAATAATTTTTTTGCATTAATTAATTATCACAATGGAACTATATTTTCACTTGATGATATGGATTCAAAACATAGTTTAAAAAAAACAGTTTCCATGAATATCGGTATGTGAAAGTAAACAGAGACACAGAGAACAGTTTCCCGAAGCATCGCCATTAACAAGAATTACACAGGACAATACTTGGGAAAATGTACTTTACTCAGACTGTAATAATTTGATATAATTGTTCAGTGGAAAAGGAAACCTTTAATAACTCTTGAAACACACTGAGACAAATTATTTAAACAGCAAAATTCACACGCTGCATTGACATAATATTTTAACTTCATCTTAAATGTGTACAAAAACAACATCTACTACAGCAGGTATGCTTGCATAGTGTATGGTCGTATCTGTTTTAATCTTAAGTTTTAAGCTTGATGATTAAATAACAAATGCTACACAAACTCTGCAGGCGAAAAATTTGCTTTTAAAGGAGCACAGTGCCCCCCCAAATGGAACGGTGTGAATAAGCAAACATTTCAAATCAACATATCTGCAATGTTAGAGTCATCTTTAAAGTTTCAGTTATGTTCCATAAAATATATCACAATACAATGTGATTCTTTTGAAAACATTTACTGAAAACAAATTTCTTTCTTTCTTTCTCCTTCTCTAGTCAGTCATTTTGTAGTCTAAGCCTAACCACAGTGTGGAACACTGAATGCAAACTCCTGTCTCCTGCTCAGCATTCACATCAGTCCCCTGCCTGTTCACATCCTGAAGTAGATAAAAAGTTGTGAACATAATCAAGGCAGCCTTTCGTATAATACATCCAAAATGTATTAAGTAACTGTGAACTTGCATCTTTATCAGTTTGTGGAATTTATGCAACTAACCTGCAGAAAGGTTTTTTATGCTGTGGAAATGTACATTCAGACCTCTTCACGCTTTGTTCACTGTATTACATTTGAAATTCAGTTTAAATTAATAAAATTGCCTTGTTTACCCATTAAAATAAACCGAGTCAGCCACAATCAATAAAAATGTGTTTTTAGTAGGGCTGGAATGTTAATTTCGATTAATTAATTACAGAAAAAAAAATCTGCTACAAAAAATTAAATTTTGATAAAAATGCAATTAATCACCATTAATTAACTACACAGCCTCTAAATAATTAGATTATTTTTAGGGGTATTTTTCTTGAAAAAAAAAAAAAAAGTTATAAAAACCAAACGCTCTTTAAATTAGAAAAACTTTCAGCCCTATAATTCATTGTTTCATAGAAGTCCCTTTGGCAATAGGTGCATCTGTGAGCCTTTTTGTGTAAGTTACTATAGACACCTGGATTTTAACAATTTATCCATTTCTTCCTCTCAAACACCAGGGGATGCATCTGTGAACTGCCATCTTCAGGGCAGATGTTCTGTGGGGTAAAATGAAAACCCTTTTTTCACCTATTTCTTGCAAATAAATGATTACTTGACAATGCTTAGCTTTGGGATTAGCCAAGAACTTGAAGCTTTATTTAAGTAAGGATCACAACCTAACCAAGATACCTTGGTTGGGCCATCTGAACCTGCTAGCACAAAAAAATGTGGTTAGACAACCCTATGGCAATGGCAGAGCCTAAGCTATGTCCCAATCCCTATATCCTGAAAACTCTGAAAAAGAGTTGATTGTGTTTAGACGGACATGATTGGCGGCAAATAGTTGTGTCCTACATCCGATGAATCAGGTTGCCGTGAATGGACTGCTTTAATTTCTAAACAAATCTTAAGAAATATTAAAACTAACAGAATGCATCTGAACACAACTGGTGTGCTACAGCAAAGTGTGTAAATACTTTTGCAATTAAGAAATTTTAGGATTTGATTTCTGATAAATTTGCAGAGAACTGTAAAAATGTGTTTTGGGTACATAAATTGCAATTTTATTAATTTAAATTAAAATAATAAATGCAACAAGGGAAGGGGTGTGAGTATTTTAGCTTTAGGGAGACAAAGCTGTATTTATCTTAAGTTCATCCAGTGGTTTGTATTACATTGGGATACCTAATAAACATCATGGAGCTGAAGAACCATATATTGTATGTTACAAAGCTGTATGCATGTACAGTATTGGCTTTGCACTGTAGCATTGGCTATATTAAAGATTGAGCTCAATGTGCTGAATAGAGCATATAATAAAGTGATAAACTGTCAGAATGTAGTCTATTAATTTGTGCTATTGATAAACTACCCACAAATCTTTGATCTAAAACATGATACATATTGTAAGTTTCTATGAAACATTAAAATTTAAAAAAAAAAAGAAAAAAAAAGCGCAATGTGCAAGATGTGACTGTTTAAGGATATTTTTTCTGTAGTTGTTTCTATGTCTACATTTTCCATTATGTTTTTTCATGCTAACTGATAGCAGTGTGGTTTGTTGCGTATCCTAACTTCTTAACACTTCAAAACTGTATTTGATTTTTAAATAGACCAATATTAATCAGTGCCTTCTGAAGTAACATTTTAACTGTGAAACAGATTTTCTCCAGTTTTCTAAGTCTGGTATGATGACAGACTATGGTCCAGTAGAATGACGTGTCTCTCATGTCAAGCACGTGGCTCTCATGTGACGACATAGCTAAATGCTATCACTTTTGTTTCCAGCAGCCTCATCACAAAGACAAACTTCTTACTGAAACACCCCAAGCACTCCCTACACCTTGATCAGTTTAGTTTATGTGATGGAAGTGGTAACTTCACAGATGAACACAGAATGGAAACTGATGTTGATTATGCTGGCCTAATTTGCTGACCACAGTTTTTAAAAAAAAATATTGTGTCATCATCTAAGACCCAAATTTCATAATTTCTTTATTTTTTAAACTCATTGAGATGTGCTTTTGTAAACTGCTTATTTATATTCCATTTAGTTGTTGTTTGTATTTACAAAGTTTAGAAAAAAGGGATAAAAAGCAGGTACAAGTACCTAATACATAGGTCAAAGGATGGTAAATGTATATTGTATTTTTTGAACAAGACAAGTGGACAGCCATGCAGTGCAGTAGGTTTAAAGTTCCCCGCAGATGAAAGACACATTCCTACTCTGCATGTCGCTGTGTTCCTCAGACAGATTCCCAGCTGGGACCTGCTCTAATCTCCTGGCAACAATATTGACATAGAAATAGAAACTCTGGAGAGGACAAGACTCTAGCTGTCTGCCTGTCAGTACTGGCTACATATACATCTGGTACAGAGTTCCTCTGAACACATATGTTCTGCTTAAATTAGATACACAGGGATTCTAAACAACCAAAGGAACAGTTCAGTGTTTTGTGAAATATGACTGTTTACTGTTTTACCCAGAGGTACCAAAAAGATTGATATTTATGTCATCTTTGTGCACACAGGATTTGTTTAACCTAGCTTAACTGAACGAAACTGTGAGCTTAAATCTCTCCAAAGTCCAAGGCTTAAGTCTGACACTGTTATAAGCGAAATTCTTGCCAGTATGGTAACATGCTCACAAAGGCGAAGCTGAAAGGCTGATATTTAGCAGGTACAGTGTTTACATATTCCCACTTTAGTTTAGTCTGCTAGCCTGCTACTAAACAAAGTACAACTGAAGTTATGGAAATGTCTTAAGTGATGGACACTCAGTCATAAACCAAAAAAAAAACTCAAACACTAAAATCTTGGATTAATTTGACAAATTCTAAACCAGTTATGATGTAATTTGTTTCCATCCATTCAACAGTTTTCAAAGATTGTTATTAAGACATTTCACTGAAACATTCCTGGTGTGTCTTTTATTATTTCATTTTAGGATCATCCTCACCTTGACTTTCCCTGATTGAGATCTGCCTGCAACCATGACAACCAAATCCAACCAAAACAGCACTCTTCTGGGTGGCAAAGCTTCCTCCTCTCCTCTCTTGTCCTCTTCTCCTCGCCAGCGCCTGGTCACCAAAGATGGACGCTTTGCCCTTCATCCTCCTCTTTCCCCTTCAGGCTCATGGCGTGGATCCTCAGGTAGAGCCTGGTTGCTGGCCCTGCAGGACCTATGGGGACTCTTGGTGAGTCTGCGCTGGAGATGGGTCCTTCTGGCCTTCTGTGCCTCCTTTCTGGCCCACTGGCTGTTGTTTGCCTGCCTGTGGTACTTGCTGGCCCATCTCAATGGAGACCTGGCTGTGCAGGATCATGATGCGCCCCCACAGGGTCATGTGGTTTGTGTGAAGCACATTACAAGCTTCACTGCTGCCTTTTCCTTTTCCCTGGAGACACAACTGACCATCGGCTATGGCACCATGTTCCCCAGTGGAGACTGTCCCAGTGCCATTGCACTGCTGGCTGTGCAGATGCTGCTGGGGCTCATGCTGGAAGCTTTCATCACAGGTACAACTCTTGGTAAAAACATCACAACTCTGAGGACACAATCTCAATGCTAGGTTTAATTTACACATTGGAAGCCAAACTGAAGTAAGAACTGATGAATTTTAAGATATTAAAATGTTGTTTTTTTCGAAGACATTTGAAAAGTGGGGACTGTTGTGTATTCTAGGAGTAGATATTTACATATTCATAATGGCAGGTGTTTAAGTGATGTGTCAAAATCTGATTCACCATCATGTGTGTTTCCTTTTCCATCAGTCTTACACTCCTACCAGTCACCTCAGGTGTGTTTAGCCAAATTGCCCCTAACCTTATACCCAACTAGTTACTTTGAAAACACCATTCATTTCCTGCCCAGAACTCATAGAAACACCATTTCAAGAGGAAGTTCTGCCCCTCTGTGACAGAGAGAGAATATTACATCAACATAGTATTAACTTGTGGGTTGTGTGTACCCTTAAATTTCTAATAGAAATGAGGTATACAAAGATTGTTTAAGCACAGAAGCACTGTGACGCAGGAACAGTTTACTGTTTCAAAGACTTAGACGCTGACAAAATGTGACACCTGCTGGGTGACCACTGGAATTGCATTTATGCTGAAGACTCAAATCCAAGTCTAAGATAAAACTGAATTATTTCAGAACAGGGGACAACGCTCTATATTCAAATAATTTGTTCAGCAAACAATGGATTATAAAAATGGGCCACTTTAATACTACAGCTCCACATTTAAACACTATGGCTGATGTTCCCTGATTTAACATTACAATAAGCCTCTCTAATGTGAGAGAGGTGTAATGGGCCTCAAGCTGTCATTGTTTTTACGATCTTGATTGCAGCTGTACCAAGTTGTCCAGTTCTCAAATGATTATTCATGGCTTCTGTCATCAGAACAGCAGCTCAAAATAAATCACTTTCCTCAAGTAGTACTACCTCAACATGTCTCAAAAGTACACTACTTAAGTATTGTATTTTAAGTACTCTATTTTCTGTTTCTTGTTATATTTCTACTTCACTGCAGAGGGAAATAATGTATTTTGCACTGCACTGCAGTTGTCTGACAGCTACAGTTTGTGGTTATGTCATGCATATAGAACCTTTAGCTGTGTAGTATACACAGATAGCATAGCATGAGCAGCACATTAGCAAAGAAGCACCAGCAGCTCTCTGTGCTGTTTGTCATGCAGATTTTGGATCCATTCACACAAATAGCCTTGACGCACAACAATACACTTCTAGTCAAGAATGCTTCACACCATAAGCTTGGAAATATGAGTCTTTACGCCACCTGTGGAGACAGATGGATTGGAAAAATAGAAGCATACCTGTTCCTTCAGACACGTGAGCTGGATTTTTTGGTCGAAAAACACAACTGAACCAGTTTCTGTGTAGACTCACTGGCAACAGCCAGTGCCCTGCATCGGGACATTATATATTCCATCCACCACAGACACTGAACTTATTTATGTTCAGTCCACCTGCAATTAAATAATACTTAATGTAAATTAGCACCTTATGTACATTATTTGTTGATCAAAGTACGTGCCTTAAATTGATCCCAGGGGACAAATCAAATTTTTTGAATTGAATTGAATTGAATTGAGTTGAAGAGCCAGCCTATGCAAGGACTCCATTTCATCTCATCATGACTACATTCTTGAATTACATCCGACGCTGACCCAAAACTAATTCATGCTACCTTACCAGATTTTGTGTAGGGCCACAGGGCAAATGGAAAAAAATATTCAGACAGTGCAGTCTGTTTACTACGCATGAAAAGACAAAGACAGAAACCATATTATTAATGTTACTATGAATTGTCATGTTTCAAAGTTATTCCATTACACGTGGTGCCCATTGATTTTGAGCTTCAAGAACATTTTGTGGTTCTACCTCTGCTGCTGTGTTGGAACCTATTTTCTTCCATTGTGGTTTACTAAAAACCAGGCAAAACCTTTACAGTAACGAGGTCAGAACACATCATCATCACAATATATTGAAGTCTCATTGTGTTCATTTTCAGGTGCATTTGTAGCCAAGATTGCCCGTCCACAGAAGCGGGCAGGAGCCATTCAGTTCAGCCCACAAGCAGTAGTAGGCCAACACCAGGGCCAGACGTGCCTCATGCTACGAGCCACAAACCTGCTGCAGCGACCTCTGGTAGATGTAAAGGTGAGTGCTGTGCTCTATGAGGAATATGAAGGCCAGGCTCTACACCAGACCTCTCTGGACTTCCACTTGGACCATCTGGGTCAGCAGCCATGCCCCTTCTTCATTTTCCCACTCACCTTTTACCATCCCCTGGATCGCCGGAGCCCCCTCTTCCCTGCTCTGTGTGAGGGCGCATCCAACCACTTTGAGTTGGTGGTCTTCCTGTCAGCTTTGCAGGAGGGAACTGGTGACTCCTGCCAGAAGAGGACCTCCTACCTGCGTCAAGAAATCCAGTTTGATCGCCGCTTTGTCCCTGCCTTGGGGCTGGATGCTCGGGGGAGATACATGGTGAGCACCCAGCACTTTGACACGGCCCACTCAAAGGAGCCCTTGAACAAGGACTGTGTGGTGCAGATCAATGGCGATGGCAGCGACAGGATGGAATAAAAATGCGCAAGAAGAAGTCTCATGGGGACAGAAGGAAGTTTCTGATGTAGACAGATATTTTTGTCAGGAGGTATTTAATTAATTTAGGTAAATCTGAATTTATGCTTTAACATTTAAAATTAAAATGTATATCAGACATGCTGCAGGCTCCCTTCCTCCTTCCTCCAATCTTCTAGAGTGACCAGTAGGAGCCTGGGAAAAGTGGGTGGGTGAGTGGTTTTATTTTTGTTGTTCTGGCCATAGGATCTGTCAAGATAACATGCTCGTTAGAATTTGTGTTCTCAAAGCAAGGCACACATTACTGAAAAATACACTAACACTACGAGATGAAAATAAAAACCAAGTTTAAATATAGAAAGTAGTTAGTGCAATTGTAGAATAGTAGAATTTTTACTTCCTTATGCTTTCTTTTCATGTAAGATTTTGTAACTGGATTATATTTGAAAACATGTAATTCTGTTGTGGTGGCACAATGACTTTTAAATTTAGTCCCGCTTCAGTTCAAATAATCAGGATCAGTTTTTATTGAACACATAGAAATTTGATTGTCCTATATACGTATCCAGATTGCTGACTGAATATGCACACATGCCAGTGACATGTCTTGATACAAAGGTACAGTTTTGAAATAGTTAATGTGACATTCCTGTAACCACCAAACTTAACCACCTACTCTTACTGTGATTAAAAAACATTTCTTTTTGCTTCAAAATTGGTAGAACTGCAGTTGGGAAGTTTTACAACAAGTTCAGTAGCATTTACTCTCTAATTTACAGTTTTGATTAGACAAAAGTAAAAATGACATTTTGGGCTAAGGTTTTTCAAGGCCTAGTTTTCATGATTTCCTCATTTCAGTAACCCAAAAACTAAATTCCTGTTTTTTGCTGCTCCAAAAGGGATTTTTTTTCTCCGCCTCTCCTGATGTGATGCTATATTAAAATTTCTCATAACCAGGATAAAGGCTTATGCTGTTTGATCCTAAAGTAACGCCCACATGTTTGAACATTTCCGATTTTTCTGACAATAATTCGAGAAGATGGAAATGCAATGATCCCACAAGAATTTGTACAGAACACAGAGATTTATTTATGATTCAATGAAAACTGTTTTCATGCTTTTCTCCAGGCATCATGTCACTTTTGAGTTGTGAACCTGGAATACATTCTGTCATCACAGGTTTAAACTTAAAATCTTTATATTAGAATGTTCAAGACTTTACACAAAAGAGAAAAACATGCATTGCATTCAAATTAAACCATATAATGTGCTCAAATTCTTAAGCAATAAAAGGTTCAAATAGATATGACAGGAATAATGATGAATGGATATTGGCAGCTTGGTCCCAAGCAGATAGATTTAAGAGCAGATCTAAACTTTTCCATTTCCAAACTACAAGAAGCAGCATGATATGTCACAAATGAATGCTCGTCATGGTGGCACTGCACTGTGGTCAGCAAGAAGGCTCTGGGTTTGAATGTGGCTGCATAGGATCTTTCTGTGTGGAGCAAGCACTCTGTCTCTATGCCTATGTAGGATTTCTCTGGGTTCTCTTAAGGTAATTGACTACTCTACGCCTGTGGGTGTAAATATAAGCAAGAATGGTTCTCTCTCTCTCTCTCTCTCTCTCTCTCTCTCTCTCTCTCTCTCTCTCTC